AGGGGTTGAAATGACTATAAATTATCTTTTAAAACAGTATGGGGTTTATGAGGGGTCCCTGGAATATTTTTCGCCCTTGTAAGGGGTCTCCAGACCGAAATGGCTCAAGAACCCCTGGTCTATAGTTTGTAAACTAGTGTGTGAACCTCTTTACTGATGCTGCTGTGACAACTGAATTTCCCCTCAGTGGGACAATAAAAGCTATTTCTATTCTATTCTATTCCATTCTATTCTATTCTATAAACCCACTGGCGATGGTAGTGTTACTGGAATCAGTTTTTACAGAGAAAGTTTGCAAACCTGGCCTGAGGGTTTGTGTGTATCCAACTCCCACAAGGCAGGCGTTGTTCACTTTTGTCTGTGGAGGGGAAATAAAACGTAGTTTGAGTTTATATTTTGAAGAAGGTAAAATCTGTTTGATGCTTTTATTTTGGATCTTACAGACAAGGAGGCGTCCTTGTCCAGCTGGTATTTGGCTCCAACGCCGAAGCGTGTGTTGTTGCTTCCTGCAGTCCAGGCCAAGTGGACCGCTGTCTCCAAGTTAGGGTTCACCTTCTGGTAAACAGATCCCCCGAACTCCGTACCGTCGTTCCTGAAACAAAACACCAAAAACACGGCGTCAGAACTGAGGAAAAAAAAAAAAACATTTTTCCATTTCCTGTTGGACTGGGATGCAGTGACTCACACGCTGGTGTGAAGCTGGAAGTCACCAGCCTTGTATCCGAAAGCAAAGTTGTTTTGAGTCAGTTTGGACTTGGCCGTGTCGAAGGCCAGCTGGTAGCCAGCGAGCCAGCCCTCGTAGCCCAGAACAGCAGCTGCATAGACCGTGGGCCCGGCCATGTCGAAGTCCAGGTCACAGCCCACGTTTATATAGTCCCGCTTGTATCCAGTCTTCAGTTTGGCACTCTTCTTACTAAAACATCAAGTAGCAAAACTACATCAATAAAACTAAGGATTTAATTATCTATTTATGTTAAAGTTTAAATCTCTTACCCAGTGTTCGGCACAAATGACGTGTCCAGTCCCAGCTTCAAGCCTTTAGCCAGCTACAGAC